CTATTCGTCCAGGTATCTCTGGAAAAATATCATTAATGGTTCAGCTATCCTCGTAGCTGAAACCTGCAGCGCTTCCGGGGGAAAGTTATCAACTGCGGAGGATCTCTATGTGCGCAAAGAAAGCAGCTTTATCAAAATGGTCGCTGAACTAAACGTGGCGTATGCATATAGTGGCATCTGGGAGAATGAGACAGGTATGTTAGAAATACTTGTAGCACGTAGGAAAAGTTGGGCCTATTGTAGCCATAGGATGCTGCCTACATCCTTGACGGTTTGAGCAAATGCATGTGCTGTTATCAGTGGGGGAACACCACGTCTCATATTCCGGAGGCTGTTCACATATATGTACAGATGCTTATTGTTAACACAAACTTTTCCGCTAGACTCTGCCGGTGTACTAATTTGTCTTCGCGCACAAGTGTGGTACAGTGATTACGATGCACAACATAGTTACTCCGGTTGTCAGGGCTAGGGTACGCTCTACACACATGCCACGCGGCGTCTCTTACCGTCATGTGTTTTCGGGTTTTACTCCGAATGAATGATTGTGCTCTTGCAGTACGAAGGGGCTTGTTGACCGATGCATATTTAATCAGATCACTGAACTTGCCAGTAAAATCTAACAAAACACGATCAATGGAGCAGTCTTCCGGAAACTCCCAGTTACCATCTCCCACAAATTTTGCCAGTATTTCGTAGTGGGTGATGTTTCAAAACAAGTTAGTATGTTCTTGTGGATGCTGCGCATAAAACACAAAGTCGTAAATTATACGTGGTCACTCAGCCCCAGAGGGCACTCCAGTCTTAGTTTCCAAACCATGAGCTCTTCGTTCGTGAGCACTAAATCAAGCACAGATGGTTTATTTCCGGCTCTGAATCGTGCGTGTGCATCAACATGGCTGAACAGCGGAATGCTTGCAATATACTCCTGCAGGTCGACATTAAACTGCTCGTGGGTGGATGTCGGATCTTCTAACTCATGAATATTGAAGTTGCCGAGACAGGAACATGACTGTATCGTCCTCGTAGTACCCTTCCCAAGGATAATGCCAGGTGGGAGTCCATCTTTGGGGTGGATATTGGGGGATGATAAACAACGGTCAAGAGGCAATTATCGTTGCGTCTCAGTTGCAAACTGCACTAGACGGAGACAACTCTTCATGCTGTTTTCACCCAGTATTCAGTCCTTAGCATTAGGTTCAACTTACGGAACTCCAGCAACTTTTAACATTGCCACGACAATCCCAGAGACTTTCGGCTATTCGTTAGTACGCTACCAATTATTCTGTATACTGATCTGCGGAGCGTTTATAATGTCAAGCATTGCATGTTTTGACATTTTTGAATGCAGTTAAACAGTGACCGAACAATGGAACAATCATGCAACATTGGTATAATACGGATCAAAAAGCCAAGGCTTGACAAATTCCCTGGGATGGTTTGTGGGTTTAAGGTTAGTTTAATTTAGTTACACAAAACTGAAAATCACATCTGTGGATTTACCATAGTATCCACGTTAATACGTAGGTATATCCGTCTAACCCGATTTCGTGGAGTTGGTGAGCACAACGTTTGTCTACGTCTTGTCGTCACCGGTTCACACTACAGGTCGTTGTGGTAGTATAACATTACCCCCCCACGCCTTTTCTACTTCGATCGCTTCGGAGAAGGGGCATACCATTAATCGCGACTTTGGCATCTTTAGTTTCTGAGTGTAACCAGGTTTCCATAACGAGTATGATGTCCCAGGAATGTGACGCCTGACGTAGCTGCAGTTCGGCAAGCTTGTTCAGGAGACCTTGTGTGTTGGTGTACATGCAGGAATGTTTCTGCTTTTAGCAGCGAATCGTGGGATGGGTGTTTTGGATAAAATGTTGTGCCGACCGGTGAAATGTCGGCAAATAATCGTTTTTTGTGTGAGGGGGGGTTGACGAACGCATCCGTGTCCGATTCATGGAGCCTACCGTTACCACTTTGCTTCTCCCTTCGTATGTAATATATTGGGTGTGTTTGCAAGTTTCCTTGGTTGGTTGATGTAGGTTATCCGAACTGTTGTAGGTGAGTGATGTGACTAAGTGGCTGGTATCGTGTGTTTGCTTAGCAGATGCTGCTTTGATCCGGAGCTCGAAGGAAGGGCTGATGTGTCCCGCATACCATCCCTCCACTACTATTGCTGACGTTGGTGTAGATTGAAGAACCACTTTCACATTGCTCGAGACACAAGCCATGTAGTTTGGCGATCAGCACAGCCTCGAGATTGATGGCGCTATGTCGTTTTCCAGAGAAAGGGTCTCGCGACTGTACCTCCATTGCTTCTGGTCGTGAGTGGCCGCTTCACTCTCATCAGGAGTTCCAGCCTTGGGAACATCGTGCACAAGGAGGGCCCTGGTCACGCATTCCTGCCGCTTTACGCCCATGTAGTGCTTCGCGTATCTGCGCTCGCTCTACGGAATATCCGGGAATAGCCGGATGGAACATGACCCATTCCGGAGGCTAGCTATCAATAACAGGGCAACTTCTGATTCATTGGCAGAAGTCAGCACAACTCGGCGACTACTTGGTTCGCAGTAATACGGTGAGTTTGGGTGACGGGTAACGCGTGTCCATTCCATGGGCTTAACTACCATAATTATAATATCACACATGAAGTTCCACTGACTCATGGCATCGAGCTCTTTTCATTTTAAAGAATTTGACGTAGATTTTGGAACGTAGGTGCAGATTACCGCTGGTATGCTACATGCAACTCTGGTTGAGGTCAAGCGACCAGCGGAGGCAGTTTGGATACAGCTTTGTCTTCTTCAATTAGTATGGGTCCAGTGAGAGTGGCTGAAGATCTAGGTTTACGGTCACCTTGAGCAGCAATCAGCTTTCAATCACTACTGGTGTCAAAGCCCTTTGCAGTTTCGGGACCGTTTGGAGGCTTGACGAGGCCCTGACAGTACTCATTTATTGTCTCGGAGTCCGTAACTACTTCCCGCCCGCTTACAGTAGTGAGAACACGAACAACCGGATAGAAAACAACGTTACGCACCGCACGCCAAACCGGACACCAAGCGCCTGTGTGTCCAAATCAATCACATGTTTCAAATGAGGGCATATACACAGGCTATGCAGAAAGGCTGACAATCGATCACTCAAAGCTAGTCATTGCAGGAACGAAGGATCAGTACGGCGTCTCACCAATGAGCGAAATGTGCAGAGTAAGGGAAAAACCAATGAGCATAAGATTCAGTGTCAACCCAAGCTAGTCACAAATGTAAGACAACAGAAAACGTATGCAGGGAACCGTAAAAGAGGACGGTAGGAATAAGAGTGAATGGGACAAACACGCAAAACAACGGGGCATGGTGAAGTTCCCTTACCACGGGTATAACACATTGCAGTCGTACTGGTGATGGTGGTTATTTCAGACATAAATGAGTAACTGGTGGTATTGGCGTTTACCGCCACATATGATGAATTTTTAGCGCTTTGTCTAGCTTTCTTCTTCAGTTTTAATGCGGTGCTTGATGGGAATCACTGGGATGTACTCTCTGTCATGCTTTCTAAAAATGAATCGCTTTTGCTGCTCCTCATTTGTTCAAACACTGTTACTAATCATTCGTACTTCTGCGATAGTTCATGTACAATCATTACCAGTTGGATGACTATACATACTGAACAGAACCACAGTAAATGTGGTTTACTATTGTATAGCTTCAACTGGTTCACTGTGAGCTCGAAACATTTGCGATGGAATTTGCCTTGGCAACTGCTACACTGGATTCTGATCCGCACATTTGTATGGCATGAAGAAAGGCGACAAACTACTGTCGATCTGCATGCGATAACTTGAGCTTCTGATTGGCCGCCATAACTTGTTGCATCGATCGATAGTATTCCCAGAGAGGCCCGAGAGTTTATGGCTTCATGCTGATCGTATGTGCGCTGAATTGTCTGCATGTTCAAGGTCGTCAAGTTCTGCGCGTGTGGCCCAGGCGGCACAGGTTTAAGCGGTTAGATCGTTTACGCGGCAAACAGAGCGACTGAGCGAGAGCTACTTTGACGCACGGTCCACAGCTGTAGTTGCTGCTTCGTCAGATGACACATGTAGTGGACCTTCGTTTGAGACCACAAATATTTCGGTGTGATTCGTGATTAGGAAAATTCCTCGATTGTGTTTTTGTGCGAATGACCTAAAAACCGCAATGTGGAGGTGAAAGTGATCCACACGAGCTAGATCCGCAAAATGGAGTGTACTAGATAGCGCAGATAAATCTGGGGCGAATGAATGTGAACCTACGTTTGTGTGACAAAATGCAACTGAGAATGGCGGCAAAACAACGCGTTCACAGATCAGCGATTGGAATGCAGATTCCATCTCTGATAAGGAATAGAAAAGTTCTACTGATCTTAATTCACATGTACCTAGTCAAGACGACGCCCAGCGTTTAGGTAAACATTCGACCGTCGAAATATACATTTGTAAAGGTCACTTAACACAGTATGATTGAATGTATCTGAAAACCTATTACATGTAGCTGACGTTACTGCGAGGGAGCTATATGGGATCACATGTAAGCATTCAGTTATCAGCGCTAGGAGAATTGACAGATAGAAGCTCTTGTGGCAGAATTTCACCTCTGTAGATGTCTTCAGTAGCAAGCAGACATGGGCACTGAAATCAAGCAGACATCAATCTCAATCAGTTAGGTTGGATTTCTCGACATTCTCTCCGTGGGCACATTGACGAACTGGAATCTTGGTTCATTTTTGAGGGCTAATTCAATGCTTCTACATTAGGGCGAAGTTACTGCTTTCTCAAGCATAGGGCGCATCTACTGGCCAACACTGGAACACGTCTGATTCTCCGAGGATACATCAGGCGTCCTTTATCTCCTGATTGCAGGACATTTTTACGTATACACTAGACAGCTGAAACAAACTACACGTTAGCACTTCGCTTACGCAATCCTACTTTCATATCTGCTATCTTTTTACTCCATTCTATTCGCCAGTCGCTGCCGTGGAATTTTACATTGAGGCGATTGCGAAATTGCGTGCACCATTGTTCAAAAGCGCCGTCTCGTCCCTCTTCAGCTGTCATTCCGACTAACTTAAACCATGTCAACATTTTGAATGTTATGGACCATCAAACTAACCGGAAGGTTGCATGATTGCATAAGAACAAGCCACTGCTCTTGACATTTATGATTATATGTCTCCCGTGTCTCCATGACAACCGTCTGTCCACTCTCGGTTCTATGTGTTAGTGTGGTTTCCGGGCTGTTCTTTTCATGTGTAATCGGAGTTTAATGTCACAAACGCAAGCAGATTTATCGCTGTCCAGAGCAGACAGTTGCTCCAAACTAGTATGAATGTCAACCTACGCTCATACTGACCCACACTAACCCCGTCACAGTGACGAGAGGGCTGCGCACGGATATGTGCTCATTGATCTCGTTCTTCTACGCTGCGTGTCTAGGGTGGACGCAATAGATATATGTCGTGCTGCAGCAAGATGAAGTTACTGAACAGGTGCATGTATCTGTTGCTAAGCCTAAGTCCTCAGGTTATATCCAGATGCTAAAGCAGATTGGACTATATATAGGACACGGTTACCTGGAGTTGCCATAGCGACGCCGGATGAACTGGGAACATTCGAGTAGCGAATGTTCAGAGCAACGTACCCATATGCGTTCCAGGTACTACATTCGCAGCCAACGATAAGAATAAAAACACGTTTTTTCTCGATAGCATGAGGCGCAAGGTATGACAGGAGAAAAACGAATGAACGGATAATGTAAAATACTTACATTTAACTTTACAATGAAATTATACAGGTGGTGCCTCATGTTGAGTTTGACGTTACGCACGTAATGTTTCTTCACAGTAGTTGAGCTACACTGACTTACACTTAAACGAGATCCTCATAACCTGCATAAATGTTGTTTCACTTTAGTTGATTTGCTCGGTTCCGTTATTCCTCTGCATATTCCGTTTCAATGATAGATGTTTATTTTCCTTCAAAGTATGCGTTAGCTGTTTGAAATCCCCGGTGTGGCAGCGCTTAATGAAGATGTTGACAAGCTATCTACCTGTCCAAAATTCTCCACCACTGTGATGAAAAACAAGGAGACCAACTCGCTGTGTGTGGGCTGGGGAGTGGTTGCACTGTATTCGTGATCGTGCTATGCTCAAAGTGTGGTTGCATCCAGTGTTGAGCGGACTAGGGTCCAGCCACCGCCTTGTGTGCGCTTGATCCCCCAAATACACCGTGCATGTGATTGCCAGCTTGTTGATGAAGCTTGGCTCACATCCTAATGTCTCTCGGTTTTATCCCTTCGGCTTTACACTGGATAAATTATGTGTATGGATGGAGCGGTGGCTGGTGCAGCACAAGCCAACTCTAGTCCCTTTGTATGCGCAAGCGTCTGGTGGCTGTGTTATGGATTCCGGAGTGACAGGCAAATCCGGAACCGGACGCCGTCAGCCATGTGTGTTGTTGTGTTGCTTGGGTTTGCAAAGGTGATCGTGTCGCCAATATGTGAAGAGATGGTTGATATCATTGGATTGGATATAGGTATCCCGATATGCAATGGATCATAAATTTAGTTGGTAGTAAATCACACCCGCCACGTCGTTATGTTATTAGACAGACTTTTGTGGCCGTTTTGGGAAGAAAGCTTACCAGGCGAAAATAACCCGCGTCCTGGAACACTGTTGCTGAAAAGGAGAAAAACACGAACAACTCACTTGGTACCATGGGGAGGCTATTCAGCCAGCCGTGTTGTTCTTGGTAGGATACGCGCGATAAATAAATATAACATAAATAAATGGTATATTCCTCGGTGCTTCGAGGTGCAGTCCAATTATGTGGTCTGATCAATGTGTAAAACAAGATCGCAAAAAATAATCAATTTGTGCACGATTTTTACAATGCATCCAAAACATGTATTAAAGTAATTGGCAGGATTAAGACATGAAGGAAATTAAAAACAAGAAAATAACATATGCAGATTTAACCAGATGTCCAGTTAAAGTAATATGGCCACTCGTGGAATCGCCTTCAGGGAACCTGCTTCCATGCAAGGTATTCCCACGAAATGTTTCGCCCGCACTTCCATGCTATACCTGGCCGCGTGCCGGTGTGGCATAGTAGCATATGAGCCATCACCTGTTTATCATATGTTCTGTTTCTTTTTAGGGATGCTTTTATACATGTATTATGAGCGATGAAGCCTCAGACCAGTCCGTCAGGCGGATCATTCAAATATGACGCTTTTTATACGCCAGTCAATTTGTGGCAATGTGCCTTGCATAGGTAAAGTCTTTTATAATCTGGAAGCTATAATCCGTCACCACAGGAGATCAGCCTAGTCGTGGCCAACAATAAAACAACGAAGAAGGTATAAAAGAAGAATTACGTGAAAGAGGTATTCTATTGTTAATGTAAAAATAGGCAGGTATGTATTTTTTACATCAACGTGCAAGTGTATCTAGCTGGTCATACGATCAAATAGTGTGGCGTGACAGCCGGAGACAGATAACTGTACCAGTTGTCCATAGGCAAAAGTCGCATACGGAATCTGTTATTGCCATCACTGCATTCAAGTATATGTTTCCGGACTGTTAACTTCAGAAAGAAAAGGGAAATGATTAACACTGCAAAACAAATGTAGCGCAGGGGACCACAGAACAATATTACGAATGAATGAATTAAGTATGAATTAATTTTGAAAGAAAACCACATAGGAGGCAGCATAAAAGAATAGCATAAGAAGCGGTTTGTAGCAGCTTATCTTAGATGATCTTGTTTTCTCTAATAAATTCGAGTCGATGTTCTCCGGTGTCCTACATTATCCGTCCCTTCTTCATGCAGCTTTTCATTATTAAGTTGCATTTTTAAGATGCATTTCACTCTGTTCGTTGACAGGTAGACCTTCATCATTTTCTTAAACACGCAAAATTGTTCAATAAATCTAATCTTTTTTGGCAGCTCATTCCACATGGAGCCATAACTAAGGAGATAGAAATTTCTCCTTAGGCTGGTTTTGAATTTAGGTAAATAGAATATACATTCACTATATCACAGTTCATAACTGGTATTTTCCCGAAAGTGCAATTGATAGATTCCAACATATGCATTCCGCCACGCGAGTTTGTGGAGCAAGCACAGATTTAATTGCATTCTTCGTAACCACAGAGGTTCAACGTCCAACTGCTTGCACCTATCTCTGTATGAAAGAGCAGTTGAATAGCCAAATATGCGCTTCGTTAACGGGCGTTGGACGTTTTCAATGGCTCTCAAGTCAGCCTTTCGCAAGTTACTGAACGTAACACAGCAATATTCAAGCAAAGGCCTGATACTGATTGTGAAAGTAATTAGCCTGGTTTCTTTCAAGGTTAGCAGGTGGCATATGAGCCCGACCGACTGCTTAGCCTTCTTCACGATATGATTTGTATGTTCGCTAAAGCTTAACGAAGTAGAATATCTTAAACCTAAGTCACGAACAGACTGGCTGGTGGGATGACTTCGTCATGAAGCCGGAACACTTCTGCTGCTATCTGACATCCATACGCTAGAATACTACACTTCGATGTTGCAAATGTCATCTGCAACATATCAGCCCAACTCTCAATGGCTTTCAAGTAGCTTTGGATATTGTTAAGTTCATCGGTACGCTGGAAGAATGCACACCCATCTGGCCTCTTCGGAGTCTGAGCCGCGAAAACATTGCAAAGTGGATTTCCACTGTCTGACACAGAAACCACGAAACGGCGTGGATCAACCTGCGGTTTCCGACAGTCTAACCGTCACGATAGCACGTAGCGGAAGCGCAATGCGGGTACAAAGCAAGTCACAAAAGGTAATCTCCGGCTTCTGTCAAATTAATGACGCGCAGTTTGACAGGACACCGCTCAGCGTAGCTTGTTGTCACCCAGGCGGATGTTCGCCAGTTTTGTCTAGACATCCGATGATTTGATGATCATGCAGATTGCGCGGTTGCTGCCTCTTATTTGGCTCGGCTCTGGTGGATAGGCACACCGATTCCACCAAGATAAACTTCTATCGCCAGTGTGGCTAAATGGTGGACTTCACATAACCTGACCCCACAGTTAACTTAGTCTGACCCGCAGCTAAGTGACAACTTTATCAGATGCCATCAGACGTAGCCAAGGAGCGTGTGGGATGACACTTTTGCGCCGTGTATCTTTGCTTATCTTTGTGGACAAATCTGACTACAGATCAGTCCACAATATTCCGTAGAATTGCGTAACCGAACCAGATCTCATTTGTGGGGGAGGGGAAGGCAGCCGTTTAGATGAAAAGGCGATTGCCACAATATAAAATAATAATGTGCTTGACATTAGGGGACAGGTAGACGCTGCGAGTTCAAAAATTGGGGCGTATTGTAGCCGCAGGGCATTAGCTGCTTCTTCGGCGCTTTGTACTCTACCGCCTGTCGTGAAAAGTGGAGGGATTTCATGCTTCACTTTATGAAGAGTATTGACACACTTATGTAGCAGTTTGTTGTTTGTCAGGAAATTTTGGTCTGGTCATTGTTGATAAGTTCTTTTGTCCTCCCGGACATGTTCAGTGCAATGATTAAGTTGGGTCAGGAAATTGCCCCAAATCTCTGAGTCGTGGTTAACGTTGTAGGCACGCCATACTGCATCCCTTAGGGCCAGGCATTTTCGAGTCTTGCTCCTTAGAATTGAAGGCATTTTTGTGGGACGAAGGGGCTTGTTCTCTGATGCTCTTTTAACGATGTCGCTGTGTCTATCAAAGAAGTCTGTCCAAACGTTGTCAAGTGGACTGTTGTTTGAGAATTTCCAAACAGCTGCGTCGACGAGTCCTTTCAATTCGTGGTAGCGTGTAATTGTATGAGTTAGTTCCGAGTATTTAGACGGTTACCCTGCATAACACTTACAGTTGAATGTTATTGCTACATGGTAACTGAGACCTAATGAACTATCTATCAATAGCTCATCAATTAGGAGCTCTGTGTTAGTGAGCACAAGGTTCAAAATGGACGGTTTGTTTGCTGTCCTGAATCTAGTGCCGTGGTGACATGATTGTACAAGGGAATATTATCGATAAGTTCATGCAAG